TCCGTGGCAAACGTACGTGGGAAGGAGCATTTGTCACAATACTTTTATACTGAAAGTTACTTCTAGAGTTCTAATGTCAAAATGCTAAATTCAACGATTTAAATTCGTGGTTCCCAACCATTTTTCACTTGAGTACCCTTTGGAAGCTCATTTCCATAAAGTGTATCCCATTAACAAAATGTTTGTAATTATTATAGTTGCATTTATATCAAATTTATAAGTTTTTCTCTGTCCCATCTTGCCTTTTTCTCTGCCCTAGGCTCCCCTGCTTCTCCTCTGCCCCACACTCTCCCTGCTTCTCCTCCATCCCAGACATTCCCTGCTTCTCTCCACACCAGGCCCTCCATACATCCATCAAGTTCAGCCTTTATTACATTTACTTTTGCTATTGATCCAAAAGAAGACAAAAAACCCAGTTTGAAAGCAGTCAGAAGCTTTAACCCCACATATTAAAAAGTATATCCCTGAATATTATATTTTTACAAATATTCATCCAGTTGCTGTTTAAACATCAGTACAGACTCTGATAAAACCACCTCTTCAGGCAGTGAATCCCACATCTTTATTGTTCTTACTGTAAAAAAACATTTGTCTAAATCTCCCTTCTTTTGTTTCTGTCCAAGCATCCCTAACCACACCTTCCCTGGCTGTGACTGATAAAAATTGTTTCATTTTCAATCAGATGTTAACTCACTTTATACTTTTTTTCACCTGATTTGGAAATTGAACTGTAATCACAAACAGGAGGCTCTTGCAGGCTCTGGTAGGCTAGTAGCTATGCAGGAGATATGACATTCTAAATGAAACAGAATGTGCAATAAATACAGTTCAAATATTATATCTCTCTTTACAGGAAGTGTTTAGAAAGGTTGTGTAAGCCACATACAGGGAGGTGTGACTATGACTGCATAAACAAAGGGATTTAACTCCAAAATACAGATCTAAACACTAAAAATACTTTATTAAACAAAATTTTTGGTGCCTATAATCTCCCTTTAAAACAATATAATAATAATAATAAAAAAAAAGATCATCAGGGTAGGCAAAGTGCTAAATGAGCTTCTTTATATGAAGATATCCAGGAAGGATATGGTACTAGACAGTACTAGAGTGACTTACTAATAGACCAGTTGAGTGTTTCTTCAAGGAAATTATACGGGATGTTTGAAGTAACCATTGTTCTATTTGGCTACGGGTTAATTGCGTAGACTACCTAATGTATTTTTTTCTGTCTGTCTAGCCAGTGTTTTGACCCCTCTGATGCACTGTATTAAAAAAACACCAATCTGTTGTGTGTTTTTTTATTTTTATTTTATTTGAATCTTGGCTTTCATTTTTAACTGCGTGCGTAAGGATAACAAGATATCAATGTATTCTTACATAATATATAGAAATATACTTTTTTTATTTGTTTTATTTCCACGAGGAGAGGCAAGGCCAATGCACAGAGAGCACTGTCTATTTTGCACAATAATACTTTTATACTTTTCAGACAAAACGTATGACAGCACATCATCACCAGTCTCAGAGATGATTCTCACATTCCAATATATATTAGAACTCATAACTAAAGTTTATCTAAAAATACAAAAAGCATCTGGTAAAGAGGCCAAAATGTAGGCTAATCCTTGTTTGGATTTTAAAATATTATATACAAATACTATTAATCTAATGATAAAACTCAAAAAGGTAGTACACAACCCACGGAACGTGTTCTTGCATTAGATTAGCTAGATCTGTTCCAGGCAAAGTCAATTCATTCTTTTATGCTTTTATCATGGATAATGATAAGATCTGTTTATTAGCTTCTCATTCATTTACACACACGAGATAGTGCTGAGCTCTGTAAAATCCCCTTCATTGGAGAAAGTGCTAGAAGTGAGATGGTGGTTATGATAAGTTGCTATTTACTCTCTGGGAAAAAAAACTGTCCACAACAAAAAAATGGGAACCCAGACGGCTGTGCTGATGTCAGATAATGGGATGGAGTTTAAGAGAAAATCGTGTTTCTTTCAAACACATCATGCACATCACCAACTGAAAATTATAGCTTATTAATCTATGTAGAACTTTAAGAAGGACCGTTCTGGTCCTCTGTGTTCTATATTTTTTTTATTTAAGCAGTAAATACAGAAGATTCTCTGAGATGACTGTCTGGTGTTAATTTTATTTTCATTAAAATTGTTGGTTTATGGTGCACTTTATTTTAAAAATGTCCTATTAATAATAGGAGTAATACGAGTATAATTTCACTGTTTGGTGCAATAAATTTAAAGGGGAGTTTTCATGTCTCAATGCCTTTAATATGCTGTATATTCATCACTTTATTTAACAAATATATATTTGTGAGGTGTGAAAAATAAAGTGAAATGTAGAAACTCACATCTCTTTATTCTGCAAATGGGCAACCTCCTTCTTAGCTCTCTATGGGTCATTTTAACCTGGCAATCAGTCTTAGAGAAAGCATACAGAGAGCCGAAAACAAACAATGTTTCTATTATTCCTCTTCATTTGCAATGTTTGCCCTGGCTTTGCCTTTTCTGAACTAAATTGTGATGTAATTTCTTAATCTTTACCATAAATTTAAAAAAAAATAATCAATTTCATGAAAAATGGTCAGCTACAATTTTGTTTTCTATTCTTTTAATATAATTTTGTATTCTCCACTTTCTCTTATTTTAAAAATCAACAAATATCTAAAAACTTTAGCATCAATTCTTTCTAGAAATATGAATAAAATAAGATCCCCTTCACTACTGATCACTTTTTGATTGAAAAAATATTAGCATAACATTTATTTTAAACAGATTCAAAGCCACGATATCAACATATAATTATACAACAGTTTGTGTATAGAATGCTTTGCAGACAAACCTAAAAATTAAAGTAACACTATAGGGTCAGGAACACAAACATGTTTTCCTGACCCTAAAATGTTTTATACTCCATTCAGATGGCATGCCCCCTCTTAGCCCACTTAGAAAATGTTAAAACTCTCCTTATTTCACAGGTCGCCAACGCTGGCCCCGCCACCGATCTGCCTTTTTAGTGACATCATCAGAATTTACGATTTTTAGCCAATCCAATGCCATCTAAGGAGTGACCACTGGAAGGTGTCCCTAGGAGGCAATGTAAATGTCTGAAGGCAATGATTATACTTACCAGAACAACTACATTTTTATCTATCACTTATTTGGCATGCTTTATAAAACATATTTGGGAAATGAAATGCTTCATTGCCTCATTATCCGGGAAACTGGTGATTCAAAATCTAAACAAGCAGAGGAATCTGTATTTGCAGCAGCAGTTAGGTGCACAAGTAGTAGCAGTATGTTTGTAAAATATGCTGGCTTCTAAATTTATAAATGTTCTCTATAATGTGGTGGTTGCAATGTTTTCAAATGCGTGTCATTGTAGTGGTTTTGCTCTACCTGGCCGAGTCTTGTAGTGTGACAATGCCTGCTACCTCCACAGATGGAAACATGTCATGATTCCCTTTTATTCCAGAAGTTTGGTCCTTAAGGGGTTAAAATTCACATTGTTTTTTCTAAATGTATTCTAAAATCTGAGAGGAATTATATAAACAAATGCATTTGAAAAATGAAGCCTACAGTGTGCTGTTTTTCCCCCCCAGAAAGATGAGTCAGTGGGTCGTCAATTAAAGACTCCCTTTCACCCCTTCTTTTCTTTTTTTTAAAATTAAAATTACTCTTGTTGCTTGGCTTTGCTTTCTTTAAAATTTATTTGCAAGAGTTCAAATGGAAGAACAATAATTATTAAATTAATTTCTCTTACTTAATATGTTTTAAATGCAGATATAATAAAATAATAATAATGATAATTCTCAAATGGCATCACAAAAATGCCATTGGGCTAGGTAATACTGTAGACATTTTTGCATTGCAGTATACCAATAGGTGTTTTTAGATTAATTTTGGTTTGTTTGAATTATTATTCCTAAAACAATCACCAGTGCAAAATGTATAGGAACCAAGACACCACTTTTTTTTTTTTTTTTCAAAAGAAATCGAGTCAGGTGAAACATTTTTTTTTTTTTGCCATGTATAAGTCTCATAGTCAGGTGCATAACTAGAGCACCCCCCGCCCTCCACCCCCAACTTTAAAATGTAAAAAACAACCACAATAAAAAAAAAAAATGTATTTAGCACTAAGCAGTGCTTATGCTTCTAAATGTAAGCATGTTTTTGTATGGAGTATGTTTGAACGAATGTAGGATGTGTGTCTGTATGTGGTGTTGGCGTTTGAATGCAGGCATGCATTTTTATGTAGTGTGATTTTTGAAGGCAGTGGTGTGGTTATATATAATGGTGGAGTTTGTATGTAGTGTTGATGTTGAAATGCAGGGGTGTATTTGTGTGTAGTGTTGGCGAGATTCTGAGATGTATGCACATATAAACATACACACACCTAAATACACACTGACACACATGCAGATACATAGACACATAGTCACACACAGATACACAGACACATATGGAGACACAGTGGCGACTCTAGGAACAATATATGTGGGGTGGGCACATAAGACACCAAAATCAAAACTGGGGGGCCACTAAAACTTTTCACTAGGGGATGGGGTAATGTGCTGCCATTGGCTGCCTGATGCCAGCATGCAGGGCACATTGTCATCAGTAAACAAATTTACATATAATTCACATTAGACACCCTGATTTTTTGTTCGTGGGCTAGCTGACACCTCTTAACGTCGATCTTTGTTTATCAGATAACTCCCTTATTTGGTATCCTTAAGTGGGATTGCAATATTTAAGGACACCAAATAAGGGAGCTATGTACCAAACACATACACATTTATATACACACACAATAACACAATAGGTGTATGTCTGTGTGTATATCTGTTTTTGTGTGTGTGTGTGTGTGTGTGTATATGTGTATGTATGTGATGTTTGTGTGTGTATAATTATGTCTGTTTGTAATTGTATGTGTGTGGATCTGTGATTGTGTATGTCTGTGTTTATGTGTGTGATTGTGTGTGTATCTCTGTAGTTAAGTGTGTGTGTGTGTTTATATATACACACACACACACTTAACTACAGAGATACACACACACAGATACACGTAGTTAAGTGTGTGTATATACATATATACACACACACACTTAACTACAGAGATACACACACAATCACACACATAAACACAGACATACACAATCACAGACCCACACACATACAATTACAAACACACATAATTATATATACACACGCAAACATCACATACATACATACATTTAATAATTAAGAGGTCCACCCAGATCCTCAGTCCCTGGTAGTCAGTGGTTGCTGCAGGGATCTCTGTGCTCTTCATGCATACGTCCCTTGCACATCCTGTAATATGACGCCGATGCTTGGATGATGTTATGTGCCGACTCACTGCAGGGCGAAGACAGTCAGATACAGTCAGATGTACACAGTTATACGCATATACTGTCAAATACAGCCACATGCACACCATAACAAACACATAGTCACTTGCACAGCTGCAGGTAGACAGTAACACACACAGTTACAGACAGACAGTCACACACACAGCTACAGGCAGACAGTCACACACACACACAGACAATTACAGGCAGACTGTAACATAGTTACAGGCAGCACACAGTCACACAGACACTCAGTGACATGCAGACAGTCACACACAGTCACAGGCAGACAGTCATACACAGTCCCAGGCAGACATTCATACATACAGGCACAGGCAGACAGTCACACACACAGTCACCAAAAGTCAGTCTCACGCACAGTCACAGGAATACAGTCACACTCAGTCCCAGGTAAACTGTCACTGGCAGACATTCACAGGCATAGACAGTCACAGTCAGACAGTCACAGATGCAGTCCCAGGTAGACAGTCACAGATGCAGTCCCAGGTAGACAGTCACAGGCAGACATTCACACACAGTCACATACATTTACAGGGAGATAGCCATAGACGCAGTCACAGGCAGGCAAAAACACAGTCACAGGCAGAGAGTAATAGACACAGGCACAGACACAGTCACAGGTAGACAGTCACAGGCAGACATTTACACACACAGGCAGACATTCACACAGAGTCACAGATAGTCACAGGCAGACATTCACACACAGTCACAGATAGTCACAGGCAGACATTCACACACACAGTCACAGATAGTCACAGGCAGACATTCACACACACAGTCACAGCTAGTCACAGGCAGACATTCACACACACAGGCAGACAGTTCACACAGAGTCACAGATAGTCACAGGCAGACATTCACACACAGTCACAGATAGTCACAGGCAGACATTCACACACACAGTCACAGATAGTCACAGGCAGACATTTACACACACAGGCACAGGCAGACAGTCACAGACGTAGTCACAGGTAGACAGCCACAGGCAGACATTCACACACACAGTCACAGATAGTCACAGGCAGACATTCACACACAGTCACAGATAGTCACCGGCAGACATTCCACACACAGTCACAGATAGTCACAGGCAGACATTCACACACACAGTCACAGATAGTCACAGGCAGACATTCACACACACAGTCACAGATAGTCACAGGCAGACATTTACACACACAGTCACAGATAATCACAGGCAGACATTCACACACACAGTCACAGATAGTCACAGGCAGACATTCACACACACAGTCACAGCTAGTCACAGGCAGACATTCACACACACAGTCACAGATAGTCACAGGCAGACATTCACACACACACAGGCAGACAATCACAAGCAGTCTCACACACACTCACACTCTCTTACTTACTGGTGGAGGAGTGGAGTCAGTGAGTCCCTGGTGTGTTGGAGTTGGGGAAGCAGGGACTCCTCAGTGTGCTGCAGTGAAAGGCAGCAAATGGAGGCTGGCTGTAGCTCCGCTCCCGCATCCGGTTTGGCTCTGCCTCCACGGCCGAGTTGGGTCCGCCCCCAATTCTCAGTGCAGTACTTCTGTACTGCTGAATTACCAGCCCCTGCGTGTGTGAGCTGTGTGGCTCCCGGCACCCAGTGAAGCCACACAGCTCACAGAGTCACAAGCCTGGCCAGCCCTGGAGGCACCCCCCTAACTGGTGACACCCGGGCGAACCGCCCCCCCCCCCACACCCCTTTTAGTACGCCACTGCTTATAGTTAATCTGGTCTTCTAAAATATATGTCTGAAATGAAAAGACACATACTGAAAACTACTAGAACAGTAAGGGCCATACATATACCATGCTAGTGAACTCCTGTTATTTTGTTTAACATAATGAAATCCAATATATTAAACACTCATTTGTAAGATTTGTAGGAAATTGTAGGATCACAGTAGAAAATCTAATTTAGTCTTTTCTCAAAGCGTATGTACAATATTCCATTCTCCTTTCTTGTCAAGAATTCTTCATGAACCAGCGCCTATTGAATGAATCTAGAGAAAGGTCATGAAATGCATGGATTATTTGTGTCTCTTGTCGTGTTGGGTGTTTGTATTAAACCATTTTGTTACAGCCAAATATGGTAATCAACAATGGTTTAAGTTAGTGTGTAAAGTGTTCATTCATAGAATCTTTATCCAGATTAAAGCTATATAAAAACATGGTCAGAATTTGTTTGGTCCGAGCGAATATGCAGCAATTGTTCAGATGCATTCATAGTCTGGCATAAAAGCGGTGCTTTTGCATCCAAATGCAAAGTATAGGAGTCTGAATATTCATAAGCACCAGTTTTAATAAAATCCAAACTGCATGCATCTGGCATGAGGCACAGTCAAAAATATTTTTTTACTTGCCTTTAAGCAAGTGATAATAGATGATTTGTTTCATTTGAATTAGTAGTCTATAATTGACATTACATAGCAAGTGGTTATTTAAAATGCAGCATCTATATCACAATGTCCTGCTATAACATTTCACTTTTATATACTTGCCAACTTTAGGAAGGATGAGACAAGCACAGGAGAGGTGCAGTTGGTGAAGGAGTAAAGCAATAATGAAGTTAAAGGAACACTATAGGGTCAGGAACACAAACATGTAAGCCTGTTAAACCCACCATTCCACCTCCCTACTCCCCCCTTGCCTATCTAAATATAGTAAAAGTCTGCAGCTGCCGCCTCTGCCCCTGATCTGCCTGCTTGCCTGAAATTATCAGAAGTGATTCTGAGAGCCAACAGGATTGTCTAAAACTGATAAGGAGGCAGGTCAGGGACAGAGCCAGCACAAATCAAACACAGCCCAGGCCAGTCGGCATCTCCTCATAGAGAAACAATGCATCTCTATGAAGAAAGTTCAGTGTCTGCATGCATAGGGTGGAGACACTGAATTGCAGTGCTGCTTACTCTGCAGCACTGCCCCAGGAAGGATCTCTAACAGCCATCTGAGGAGTGGACAGTGAAGTTATCACGAGGCTGTAATGTAAACACTGCATTTTCTCTGAAAAGACAGTGTTTACTGCAAAAAAAACTGAAGGGAATGATTATACTCACCAGAAGAAATACAATAAGCTGTAGTTGTTCTGGTGGCTATAGTGTTCCTTTAAGTATTATTTACCTGCTGGCTGTTCTTGTAGCTAGTTGGAAAATAGTTAAACAAACATCAGCAATGTGAGGGTTAACTATAAGGCATCTCGTCAGCTTTTGCTAGCCAGATCCCACATTAAAAAAATAAAAATAAATAAAAGGCAATGGGGTCAATAAGATCCTCATATTACTATAAGAGAGGTTTAAAGTCTCTTTATGCCTCCCCCTTTGGGAATGGGGCCCTTGAAATATTAGGAAGGTATTGGGTGGGGGACTATAAAAAATAAGGCTGGTGAACAGATCACTGTCCACTCCTCCTGCCTCCACACCTGGGGATTATTATAATTTGATGGCTATTATAAAATAATGGTAGTGGTTGGGGGCCCTAATAATAACATTAGGTAGATCTAATGTCCTCTACCTGGTGCCCACCCATAAGCAGCTTGTGGGGACCATAATAATTTAATTATAATAATTTAGTGAACTCTACTACATTAACAGGAATAAGGGTAAGGATACTCCTGACATCATAATCACTACAGAGAGTTGCAGTTGTTATGATGCTTGAAGTAACTCTTTGGTGCCAATGCGTATATAAATGTGAAGGCAACCCTGCAAATGTTGCAGACATGTCCAAAGAACAAATTAAATCAGTCATAACCCATAGATCTAACAAAACTATGTTATCATTATTATGGATGAGATAAAATATTTAAAACGCAATATCTGATATGTTGGTCAAATGGCGAGCTACCAGTAATATCTGGGCTTCATTCTCTACTTAATTGTTAAACAGTTTATAAGCAATTTGATAATACCGCTGGCTCTCCCTGGCACTTGGAGAAGGGACTCACCTCATTGATAATTAATACTTCTATAATGAATGTCAGGTACATCCAACATGCATGACAGTGAAATAGTCTACTACATGCACTCTCTGCCTATCATTGTCAACATGGTTATTAGCAACTAGAGTTAATACAGAAGTATAAATTCTATATTATCAATGTGGCCAAGGCTGAAAGGGTGGACTATGAGATCTGGACAATATTGTTTATTGTCATTCCAGGCAAAGCACTCCGAGATTAAATATAACATAATCACGTTAGCAAGCTGTTGCTTGCAATTTACCTTTAATAATGACTACACAAGCTTAAAGTCCTTGTCTTGGGAAGAACAACTTAATTAGCTTGTGTGAGCATAGTGATAAATACAATGAATCAATTAATATCAGAGCAAAGTAGGTTTACAGCTTGCCAGAGCAAAAGCTTTATTAAGGAAAGGACCCTTAAATTCTGTGCCAAAATTTATACGGGAATTTCAATAGCTTTGGGTACATCTAAATTTGATGTATAGACCTGTGCATAAATATACTCGTTTAATCAGATGGATGCAAGTTTCCCCGCAAGTAATCAAACTCACATTTGAAGTTGGTAAAAAAAAAAAAAAAATCCCCTCTATAAAATATGTTTGGCGATGATTCAATAAATTTTTGTCAACAGCCTAGAAAAAAAACAAAAAACAAAACTCTTTGTTGCATTTATATTTTGTTTTTCATCTTCTCCAACTAT